AGCAATTATTTATTACAGTTTAACATTATAAAATTAACAAAAATAATATAAAACTCATATTCTGGTGAAATGGCCATATGGCCGCCGAAAACCCGTATTTTCCCTTCTTGTTCTCCAGCCCGTTGGTGCATTCTTTCCAAAAATCGGGACTTTTTTAAAACGCCGGGGGACACGGGACAAATTGTTGAAAAGTGGGGCTGTCCCGCCAAAATCGGGACGTCTGGTCACCCTACTCTTAGACCAAGCAACAGGACCAAACTGAGACCTTTCCATAAACACTAATTTCATTTCTCTTGGTTTAAATTGGAATAGTATAGAGTAAACCAAAGAAAAAACAAATGTGATTAAAACAGGATCTTGAAATAATTGAATCTGCAGATTTCCCTCTTTGGTAACATATTCATCTCTACTTTTTAAATTTCCAGCATTTGTTTGTTTATTTGTTTGTCACGTTTTGCACTGCCACCTAGGCTAGGGTGCAGTGGCATCATCACAGCTCACAGCAACCTCAGCCTTTTAGGCTCAAGTGATCTTCCTGCCTCAGCCTCCCGAGTAGCTGGGATGATGGGCACCCACCACCACAACAGATAATTTTTCTATTTTTTTGTAGAGATGGGAGTCTCACTCTTGTTCAGGCTGGTCTTAAACTCCTGACCTCAAGTGATCTTCCCACTTTAGCCTCCCAAAGTACTAGGATTACAGATGTGAGTCACCGTGCCAAGCATTGTGTTTTATTATTTTTAAAGTAAAATTGGTGCTCTATTAGAATTTATATATAATGAAATGTAATAATAGTTTTGGTTATACATGTTTGTCTATTATCTACACGTTCTTTGTTTCATCAGTAATATAAACATATGTTGGTTTTTGGGGTAGAGATGTAGTTTATTTTTCCTCCATTTGTTTATATGAGTTGGGTTTATTTTTAACACTTAAAGGAAGAAAAAGCACTATTTTCCCACCCACTATTTGGTGCTGACTTAACAAGAGGGAGATGAAGAGTGACAGGCCCCACAGCCAGTCTTCTTTCTTCTCAGTCCTCTTTGCACCATATTTCATTTTGATAATTTGAAAAGTGAAAATTAAAAAAGGTAGATGAAACCTGGGAAATATTTATGTGTTCAGGTGAATGATCCATTTGTAGTTATATTAGTGGAATATGCTAAATGATAAAGTTCAGAGTTTTAGGATGTCAAGAAGTTGGCTGTGGAAACCCTTTTGTATCTGACTAAATAGTTGAAAAAGTATTAGTGAAAAATTTTTATCTTGATTCCTAAAGTATTAGGTTTTAATTTTCAAATAAAACAAGTCGCTTTTTATGTGAAGTCTTATTTTCTGAGTAATGTAATTTTATACATAAAATCAGAGATTTGGAACAATTCACATTCACCTTTCATCACTTTTACGTATAAAGTTTCTGCTATTCTAAGGGCTGAGTACATATTTCATAATAGTGTATTTATAATAGATACCCAGACTCTGCTAATACACATACTGGAAAAGAAAGAAAATTTGAAATGATAGCCACTTCCAGTTTAAAATTATATTCTTAAAGTAATGCTATGCAGTGGAAATATACTGCAAATCACAAATGCAAGCCACAAATGGAATTTTGTATTTTCTAATAACCATGTTAGAAAAATAAAAACAAATGAAATTGATTTTAATAATATATTTTATTTAA